TACGCCAGTGGAATGGAACTTTAAACACTGCATAGGGGATATAAGGTATGTTTTGTCTTTCCTGGAACTTTTTCCTACAACAGAGGTCAGACAAGAGATGCATTTTTAAATTTTTACTTATTAGAATTATTTGTATGGGCTCAAAACATTAACAAAGTGTCAAGAAATAAAAAAAGATTCAAATCTTTTTATTCATTGCTATAGATTTGTAATACACCATTTTATGATAAAATGACTTTTATTTTCAATTGGCTTTTTGAAATAGTATATCAACATGTGTATAATGGCTAGCTTGCACTAGTTTCTAACTTCAATATGATGTTTGGTTGGTTATAATGAATGCTACGTTTTATTTTCAGACAAGAAGAAGTGTCCCAAATTATAGGAAACCAAAAACTGGGGATAGGTTATCTGTCTCGTGCAGTAGATGCATTGGACAAGTTCTTGGACCAACGTGTTTCAAGAAAGACTGACAACTTTGACTGATTTTGTGCATTTGGTCTTTGCTGGAAGAACGAATGTCAAATTGATATCGATTTGATGCAGAAGTGAAAAATAAGTATATGCCTTTTGCCACTTTGTATCTTGTATATGATCAAATTAAATATAAGTTATTGGTGTGGATGTTTTCATGGAGCATGAGCTTTTATTATTATATAGCCCAGTAAAATACCATAGTTCAGATTTTGTTTTCTCAAATTACATTTAGAAGTTTGTGTGAAATAATTTTACATTTGAGGCGTAAAGTACAAATTATGAAACTGTTTGTATAGTAGAACATGTCTACCATTATAAAAGTAATTGTTGTGCCTGTGTAATTTATATAGTTTGTTTGTCTTCTATATATCATACCAAGTCAGTCAGTACAATACAACTAGTAAATGATGGAATGAAGAGTTTATTAATGTGACATTTGTTCAGGATAAACCTTGATGGCCTTGCTTGTAAAATATCCATGATTTAAAATTGAAATATATTTGCCTGTCAAATGAATCCTTATATGATGATTTTTATCAGCAAATATTTGCCTTGTTCATAAATATATTGTACATACATTTATATCTATATATTACACTTCCATCACATGTTTGGTACTTTAACTTTAAATAAATTATATTTCTTCAAACAGATTATTGATTTTATGATTGAACATTTGGTTTGTTTACTTAACAGCATCAATAACAAATACTTGTAAACACGGAGCAAATATTGATTGATATATGTGCAGAATCCCCTCTGCCACATAGTAAAGTTTTTCTGCTGGTGTTAAAGTGAAATGCTTTGCTTCCACTGCTGATAAATTTCCAAACGATTATCAAAATGTTTTATCGTTTCCAAAGCAAAGGAGTGTTTAGGCATCCCACTGATACTGTCTGGGAGTAAAACCAATTATCTGATTAATCAAAAATGTCATGAGGAATGCAACAAGTTCAGTTGTAATCAACATCGAGCTTAGTTGGTGGGGCATCCCTTCTCATCATCAATTCACTTTGGTATCGAGAAGTCTCGTGGTGGAAATCTGGTCGTAATAGTTGAGCTCGCGAAGGAAGTTGATACCTTTGATTAATTCTGTGTCTAGGCTCTACATTATATGACATTTGTTCCCTCTTCTCTAGGTACAGATTCTCATCATGTTCATGGTGTGGTACTCCCCCAAGCTCAGCATTCTAAGGTATTAAAAAAACATTGTATTTATTTAAGAAATTGCCTTTCAAAGTTTAGAAGTTGGTGGGGTGGGCGGCATTTTCTTTATCACACACAGTACACACAAATGTTGTCAATTGACTTCAAAATAACTCCTAAAAATAAAATTCTCTCTCTCTTCTCTCACAAAAGAAAAAAAAAGAAAATATTATTTTCTTAAAATCTTTCCTAAAATCAAGTACCTGGATGATGAGTTTTCTGTTTTTCATATCTGTCTTCCATTCTGGTACATACAACCGGGGAATAATTGGGTGACTCCTGGAGTACGCAGGGACCCTGAAACCATATATGATTACAGTATAAGTAACAACTATTTATGTCTTCCATATTCAGAAACTCTGAATGGTACCAATCGAAATTAGTGAAGAATGACCCTGTAGTTTTATTTTTCTCTTTCTCACCTGTATATAGCACCTGTGCGTCCTTGGTTACCAAGTATGATCATTGCACTTTATAGTTTGTAAATTTGATTAAATATAACAAGGGCTGACCACAGTACATTTGTGCTAAGTCGATATGATTTTTTTTCAAATCTGACTTTGTCTCAAAATTGTCACAGGTCATAATATTATCTTACCTGGTCACTTGAGAACGTCCAAACCTATCCATTGCTTGTTCTGTTTGTTGTGACGCACGGGGAAGTGGAGCACTTTAATACATGTGCATTCTCGCGAGAACATTCGAGATAACAACAAACATGGCGAGTGCTCCTGCAGCTTTCTCGAAATGTCACATTTAAAGTCCATTTTCAACTTGATAAGGTAAGTATAAATCGATTCTAGACTGTGTGTAGAGTTGAAAGATGAGAACCAACGCATTTATGATTCTACAAAATGCGTGTTTTCTAACGATCGTTTTAAATCACGTAATGAACATGGACGTCAGATTGGACATGCTACAACTTGTACAAGCTACTGTACTGTATCGCACGGCGACTGGCGAGCATGTACAAAATTCAAAGCACCGAAGTTTCATTTTACGCTTATATCGCAACGATAGTGATTTAGTGGTTGTTTAAACTCCTGCTTCTCTCATGACAATTGTTTTGATACATGTACTTTTGTGATCACATTTAATTAACTTTTTGTTTCAAGTAAAAGGAAAACAGTTGATATAGGTATATAATTAGCATGAAGGCTGAGCGAAGCAGACGCTTGATTTTATTGCGAAGCCACCACTCATTGGACTGGCCCTTTATCTTATATTATTAACTAATACCGCCTTATGTACAGCTGATGTATCAGATTTACATTCAATTGTAAACAAGAACATGTATATATAATATAGTTTCAATGATTATCATTATTTAATATTATTATTACTTTCATTTAGTAGTCTTATGTAGTATGAAACATTTCATTTGTTATTTTATTTATGACTGAATAAAGTGACAATTGAAATTTGAAAAGGTTGGTTTGGGTTTACTTTGTAATAAAACATTAATTTTTATGTAAGGATTGTCAGGTCGTTTATGCATTGCATCTTTTTTTTTTTTTTTTTCTCTTTTAAGCAGTACCCTGATGGTGATTACCAGCACTTATAAAAAGGTAGTAATTTAATTATCTTTTGTGATTATTTTTTAAATATCAGAAATGCTCTGAAACAATTATTTAAAAAATTTTTCCTCCAAATCCTTTCTAAGTTCTGTTACTGATATTCGTCTGTTCATTTGACAAGTTTGCTGTCTTGCTTTTCAGTTCTTCAGAGCCTTAGAAAGGTTCTAATGGACAACAGTATTGTGAAAGACCTGGAAAACTTGCAAGTGTTCTCCACATATGACATTTACAAGATGGATGAACTGGTCCAAGATCTGACCAATGCTTTAGAGGAGAGTTCCAAGCAGAATGAGAGGAGAGCCAAAAGTGACGATGGTATGTCTATGGGCTATGTCAGGACAAGAGCTTGCAAGAAACGCAAGAATAAAAAACGAAGGACAAGCCAAAACTTTCATGTGGAGTTTGGAAACATGACTGAGGCTTCTGAATCCAGTTTAGATGGTGCTTTGAAGGATTACATGGAGAATGCTGCTCAGCAAAGTGACTCAGATGATCTGGCCATAGCAAGGCGTTTCTCTTCATTGGCTTTACCCCAACATGCCATCTCATTAGCAGAATCAGACTCTGTAACAGAAACTGTATCACCACTGAGGGCTCAGAGTAGACGAAGAAGAAAATTCAAAATGGCAGTTGATCCTGACCCTGGTTCAGATATTGCTATGCAGGAATACAAACCACGAAAGAAGAGAATGAAAGGAAAAGGATCTCTGAAAGACAAGAGCATGGATAGTGATAAAGAGGGTGGGATGGCATCAAAGAAAAGAAGTTTTAAAGAAATGGCCAGTAAAGAGAATGTCTTAGATGGCGGAGATAAAATGGAAACTGAGAAATGGCAGTAAGCATTTGATTTGTCACTTTGATTTTTTTTTTACAGTCATTAAACATGATGATCGCATCAATAACCCCCTGTGCTTCTAAATTGGTTCCAGTTAAACTCTTAATAATCTAAAATATTTTATCTCTTAAGAGAATACATTGACCAAATTTCTATTAATATCTGATAAATAAAATCTACGATAATGCAAAAAAAACTTGGTATTATGTGATATAAAATTTCTTATATGACGCATTTATTTTAGGGACAGCACCAGTAGTTCTCTGAGCAGCAGTGAACCAGAAACTTATGATGAAGAAGGACAAGATGGTAAGGTGTTTGTTTTCTTAATTATTACATCAAAGAGTTTTTACAGACCTGAAAAAGGTTAATTTTGGACTCCCGCACAGTTGCCCTAGTTTCCAAGAAGTTCTGTTTGTCTTTTTTCGATTTAGATAAAATGGTTTAGCATGTCATTATGTTTTTTATAAATAAAAATAGACAGCTGCTCCACCATTGTCTTCACCATAGTGAGGCATTAGTATTTTATATATTTTTTCTAGGTGATGATGAACAGAGTGATTTCTTCCATGAGACTGGCCCTGTGTGTGGGATCCCTGGTATTATTCCATGGTGGGAAAAACAGAAGATAGAAGAGGATACACAAGACAAAAAATTCAAGGAAATCCTCAATGGGAGTTTGGACCATATGTCTGTGGAATCCAGGAGAGGTTTCCAGGCTCGCTTAAAGAAGGTGGCTGGTTTGGTAAGTTTTAATTACTTTGATGAGAATATTTGTTTTGAAAGATTTGAATAAAGGTAGATTTTTCAAATTGTGCACTGCTTGATAACTATTCTTGTTCTCAGTTTGACATGAAATGCTTATTTGATATTAAAAAGTATAAATTGTCTAATATTATGAACTTATCAACTGACAGATTACTGACACTTATATTTTGACTTGTGTTTGATTGTGATTATTTTACAAACATTAAAGTGAAAACTGGTCAGAGACCTCACTTCTTTATTCCAGCATGGCAGAGAAATAAGACTAGGAAGAAGGAGATTAAAAGACAGGGTAGGTAAATGATCCACAATCAATGTTTTTTGTCAGTAATTCAAGAAGGAAGTTATATTATGCATCCTTGAATCTTTCTCCTTAATCTATATGAACATTAGGATTAAAACATGCTTCGAAGTAGCCAGGGAAATAGTTTTGTTGTGTTCCTTGAACGTGTAACAAACCAATGAATTAAACATTTGATAAACATTCAGAGGCCAGGATACACTGCATACAAGTTCTTCCAAGACAGACACCAGAAGAAATCTGATCCATCCGGGCTCTGGCAGTTAGCATCTCCAAACCAGTCTGGGGATGTTAAAAGAAGGAGAAAAACTCCCCCAACAAGTCCCGTTGATGAAGGTTTGTCATAAAGGCAGAAACGTCCAAAGGAACTGGTTAGGGGACAGTGAGCAGGGGGCAGTGATCACCTTGTTTGTATTAATAGGATGATTTGAATACTTTGTATTCTAATTAAATTGGATTTTTTATTTGTGGGTTAATCATAACTGTTAACAAACGCAGAATCACTGACAAGCAGATGTCCTGGTTTTATTGAGTTGTTGATATTTTATGCTTTTGGTCATTTGCACATAGGGTAATATTTGCTGTGACTCATCACTTTGGCATGATGATCTAAACAGTCTGTCAGAATTGTTCCCAGGCCTTTAAAACTAAATTAAATAGATATTTTATATAATATATTTTATATATTAAATGTTCCTATTGGCTTCACATCTCGGGATAATCAAATGAAAAATCTTATTCTTTTCATTTTAGATTTAGTTGGAGGTGATGCCAGTCCAATCCCAGAGGACAACATAGGCAACAAGATGTTACAGACCATGGGGTGGGTCCCAGGGACAGGATTGGGTCCCACAGGAAGTGGAATACAGACGCCCATTACGGCACATCTACGTCAGCGGAGGCAGGGCCTTGGTGCTAATGTTGATGATGAAAGAGAAACAAAAAGTGATGAATGATTTTGCCAATTTTAGCAGATGTGCTCACTGTAGCTAAATTAGTGAAAATCTTTGTCATGCTGTCCTCATATATATATATATGATTTAAAAAATCTATCAAAATTGGTCTTCCTTAGTGAAATAGGTTATTTCATTGTAGCGAGCTGTACTTTCTTCCACTGATTTTTATTTATTATCAAAAGTTTATTGACTTATGTTGTTATGGTAGATACAATTTATCATATACAGGTGATGTCCCTTTGTTCTTTAGAACTGAATATAAGGGTCTGTGGACACCAAGCATGGATGCAGTGGTTGAGCAAATGTTGAATAACATCTAATTTATGTTTGGTTTTCAAAACTGGAATCAACTTTGAAATTTCTTTCCCTAAAATATAGTCCCTCTTTGAAAGCAAATAAATCAAATTTTAGCATCCCATGGCACAGTTGTTTTTTACTCCTTAAATTCAGAACCTTCATTCGTTCAATGAAGAAAATTTAGAAGGGTCCAAAGCTCAATGCTAAATGAAGATAATTTTAACACAACCTGTATTCAACATAAAATCATGTACTGTACCATAAAATTTTCAGTTTTGACTTGTCAGTGTTGAATCTCTGTTAATAAAATCTGCCAACCTTATTTCAACAAAAATGCAAGGTTTTAATGAAAGTTGTGTCTGTTGGGATTCTTATTTGTTTGCATGTTTATTGGCTGTAAAGGTGAACTTGCAATTTGAAATCTTTAACAAAATCACTTTTATTGGATCTGTCTAGTACTATTCATAGTTACTATTTGAAAAACTGTTTCATCTTTTAAACATGTATATTAAGGCAAATTTAACGTTCAGATGTTCACTTTTATTTATTAAAATTAGTTTAGTTAAATGTGTCTAATTTATAGATACTTCTTTGATCTTTTTATCTAAATTGTCTTGCAGGCTGTGAGAATTTGGTTCAAGGAGTAACTTTTAATATGTATGACAGTCTTGATTTATGTAAATGATCAGAGGAATAAGAAAAGTTGCATTTTAATAAATTAAAAAAAGGTAACATTAATTTCAATATTTAAACTAATTAATCTTTACCAATTGTGCAAGATTTGTTTGGTCTGCAAATAAAAAACACAGTGGGTGACAAATGATTTGAATAAAATAAAAGGTCTGGTGTTGCATGTAGTCATAGCCAGTCTTTGGCTTAACTCTTCTACTTTACTTATGACTGAATATAGTCATTAAAATTGTAACAAAGATAATGACTAAAACAATGTAAATAAAATTACATATACTGGAGGTATTGGAAAGTTTTGTTTTTGACTGGTGTCTTAATAAATGTGATATTTAAATTTATAATACATATTCTACAAGATCGTGAAAGAATCATGCAAAAGTGTGGCAACTGGGATGTAACTTTGCACCTAAAGATACCATGCATTATGTATGGAAGTTGCATTTTCTTTAAAGACCAGTAGTTGATGTTTTTTTTTGTATTATAACAGAACAATCTTTCACAAAAATGAAAAAAAAAGTATCCATCACATCAATGCACTTCTGCAAATATCATTTAGAGCAAAGATGGTATTTGAAGAAAAAAGAAGTCTTGGAGTGCTACTTTTCTCATGTCGAACAAAATTGATCTCATCCAGATAAACATCTTTACTCATTTTGAGCCCATATAGTCTCAGTATATATATTTTCAATTTGATGAGGTTCTGCATATTTTGTAAAATAATTTTTAGCGTAACCCTATTTTATTAATTTTGACTTAAACTCTATACACCCTCATCAAATAGCACAATGATGATGCTGAAGCAAATATCTTTATTTTATTATTTTTTATTTACTGATTAATTAATTATTTTATTCATTTTATTTATTTTATTTATTTATTTATTATTATCATTATTTTTATTATTATTATTATTATTATTTTTTTGCTTTGTTTCGACTTTGTTTAAAGTAAATACATCATACTGGGCATATATGTTTTCTTATGTGCTCCTTTACAGACTGGAAAGACACCCATTCCTAATTTTGAAAAAAACTTTCTAATCATTTTTTATTATTTATTGATATTTATTCCATACTGATGCTATGTACAGTGACAAGAAACCCCTAGAACACATTTTGGGTGAGTCTGTGGGGTAGTCCACTCTTTTTTTTTTTTTTTTTAAGCTACATTTGCAATAAATCTACATTTTCACAGCTGGGGTGTATCAAATCTCCTCTTGTTACATACCCATACATACCAAGAGCGATTATGATGGGTGATTATGAAGATTATGATCGTTATGCAGAGTTGATATGATGAAGTGCTGCCACCTGGCATTTCGTGCATCGGAAGTGGTTTGCAAATGGCGGTTGTGTTGAAAGTCTAAACATTGCTGCCAAGGTAAACAATCAGTGATTTTTGCATATTTTACTTGATAGATGCTGTTTGCATTATGGGCATTATGCGAAGTTGCGATGGTTTGTTGGCAGGAAATCGATATAGTTCAACTTGTGGAATGATTAGTAGCATTATAGCACAACTTAATTTGTCTATTTACTGGTACATAGTAACTTTTTATGCATTCTGTTGTGTCAGGTATATCAGAAAAAATCAAACTGATCTGGAAAATATAGTATATATATATTACACCCAAAGTGTCCTCACTTTTCAGCCAAAAACCTGTGACCACTGACCAGCGCATCAAATTAACTAAGCATCGTTCAATTTTCACGTTTTTTTTTCATTAGATTGCAAGTTTTCTAAACTTTTAAATGGTATAAATTGCACAGCGCTAAAAGAGAGATTTGAAAGGGATGTCATATGCGACCTGTGAGCAGGCTGGTCACAGCTTCGCCAGCACTGCAGCTGGACAGTGGCCACTGTGGCGCCCCTGGCGCATTGTGATATACATGTACCTAGTTGTGTTGATTTCACATGTTCATTTATTTATAATTGTGAATATCTATAGCCACAGTCCTTTGTCTAGGTCGATACTGCAATATGTAGTACTAGAACTTGAATATATATTTTAAATTTTCAGTCTCTAAAAACAGTGCTTTCACAAGTTACTAGTATATAAGTATGCAGTGCTAGTGTTTTCTGTCGTTTAGTTTTGCATGCTAGAAAAAATTTACTGGGACTAGGGCAGTGCATAATCCTCTTCATGTAAACCTCTCCTTTCTTAGGTTGAGGTAAAGTGTCTGTGTTGATATCAAGAGTGGTGGCAGTGCTGTGATGGCAGAGTCTGCGGATAAAGAAAACCATTCCCTGCAGGAGATGCAAGTGGAACAAGATGATGCCAGCATGAGTCAGAAAGCAGTGCAGCCTGAGAAAATGCTGAAAGGGAGCTCTGAAAAATTGAAAACTTCACCTCAGAAGAAAAAGAAGAAGAAAAACACCCCAAAGAAACAGATTTCTGACAGCACTGAGAAAGGTAAGTTCAGCAGCATGAAACATCTGGTGTTTTATTGTGGAAATTTTTTTGATAAAGAAAAACAAAAACAGAAAATAATAACAGTGTCTTCCATTAGCATATGATTATGTTTTCTTACTGATTTAGAAACTCCTACAGAAGGTGGAGATACAGCAGCAAATACAGAAGGTGAAGGAGCCAGAGAAGTAGAAGGCCATGAAGCATCTACAGAATTGTCAAAGGCAGCAGAATCTGTTGAAGACATTGGAGATGCAGGTATAAATTGGAGTTAATTAGAAGTATGATAAAATATTTCATCATTTTTGTAATGAAATAAAGATTGCAATTATCATTTCACTCATTTTCAGTTGATTTTCTTTGAATTAAATTCAAAATGTCAGATATATTTGTAGTTGTGATAAAACCATGCAACTCTGAACAGGATACAAAAACAATCAAGGCCTTTTTACTAATGTTCTATAGTTGGTATACTCTTCAAAATCCGACCAGTACCGTTAAGGATGCAAATTGATTTCCAGAAGTCTTAAACTTGGGTAACCTAGCAGATCTTGATGGTCCAGGAAGAAACCGTTTATTTGAGAGGGGCAGGCAGTATGAAGACAATGGTAAAGCACAGCTGGCTTTGAAGTGTTACCTAGGCTGTTTGACTGGCCTGGAGGAGGGGAGCGGGTTCACATACTTACCACAGTGTCTCCATAGTGTAAGTCAGTAATGGTATATAATTTCATGGTAAAACAGAGCTTTAAACTGGTCATGGGGCCGCCAGAGTGCCAGGTCTTGGTAGAGCACTGATTTGTTATCAGAATAGTTAAAAATGTATTAACATCGCCAGCATTGCTTGAAGATATTGTTGATTTACATACCATTATACTAGTATTTAAATTGAAAAATTGTTAGTTGAGCTTTCTATTCAAGGATCTCACTTATGCATTATTTTTTCCTCATTTTAGGTGGCTGATGTTTATTTTAAAAAAGAAGAATGTATCCTTATTAATGTAAATAGCAGAAAGCGATTTGTAGTATGAAGACCTTTAACAGTTTGAAAATTCAAATTCCCATATGGATGTTAGTTGTAAATAAAAAAAATTCTGTTTACTGTTATCCTTCCTCAACTCTAAGCAGATGAAAAAGCTATTCAGTTTATACAAGCTGAGAAAATGTATTATGAGAGTGCCTTAATTGACACCATGGGGTTGGAGAAGAGGGTTGGTAAGTGTACATAGCAAAATCACATTGCTCTGGTGTTTTTGTAGTCACCAAGATTTTTTGTAAGTACTAAGAAAAAATATCAGTCTTAGAAATGCTTTAAGTTTCATTTGCAACACATTAGAATGCTGCTAAAAAGTTAGTTCTTAGGTCAATGGTTTTTAAAAATATTGATTATTTTGAAACTGCAAGTTTGTGTTTTATGGATGCTTCCAGATAGTTCATTTGTTTATTGGTAAGAGGCTTCTTTAATCCAGGGGTTTATTGGTACAAACATAAGTTAAGATGTTGGTTCAGTGGCAGTTGGCATTCAAATACTAAGGACAGCAGGTACCAATGCACCTTTATACAAAGGTACATTCAGCCTGTAGTGACAGGCCCATTGTGTTTAGTGCAGTAGAGCATGTGTTGTGTAATGTCATATTGAAATGTCTCTCTTAACAAACTTTATCTACTGTCTTTCTGTGTTTAGAGGACAGAAAGAAGGAGAAGGAGTCGGGAGATACCTCACCGCCTGACACTGGAGAAGAAAGCCTTGATGCTTTGAGAGCCACAGAATATGAAGAGTTGTCAAAACTGTGTCTGGAGAGAGATCAGTACGTATGGGCTGGTTACCATGTTTCTTACTTAACAAGGGAATTTTTAAGAAGAGATAATGATTTACAATTTCTGTTTTGAATTAAATATGATGTTGAAAAAAGATTTCAAAGATGTCAAGCAAACTGTTGTTTGAATACTTTTTTTAGCAGTCTTGTCATTTTGCAGGCCAAGGCTAGCTTTGGATTACATTGCCAAGGTAACACATAAGATTACTCTAGAAATGCCCACAATATCATGTTCTGTTTAAAGAAAGATTAAGAAAATTAGACTCATTAATGAATATGTAATATGTATAAAATCAAATCCTGGTGAATGTCAAATGAAGAGAGTTTACATACTGAAGATTAAAATAGAAAGCTAAGAATTTCAATTCTTAATGTAGATAGTTCCCAAAGGAAAAAATACAAATACTTAGTATGGTGTTTAGAACTCTTTAACAAGTTTCATTATCTGCTTCATGGCATTATAAATAATTTGATAAGTAACATTTGTTGTTCACTGTTTCCTGTAGGCAACCAAGCTGAGGCAGCAGGTATTTGGGGAGCAGCATCCTATCACTGTGAAAAGTTTAGATTTCTTCACTGTTGTCTATGCAGAGGTTGGAAAGCAGCAGTATAAAGGTACGTTTTCTGGGGGTGGATTGATTTGGATAACAGTAATTCACTGAATTAATTATTTGAATTGAATTTACCAAGCATGTTTACAGAAACATGATTTAGTCCAAAAAGTCTGATTATTTGTATCTGAAAGTTTGATAACAAGTGACAAATATTCAAATATCAGGGGCGGATTTAGGCCATCTTCTGGGTCTTCCAGAAGACAGTTAGATTTTCAAGTTTACATTGACAGGTATTGATTTTTTCTGTCGGAAGACAGTCAAAAATGGAGGAAAAGTAACTTTGGAAGACCATCAGAAAATATCTCTGAATACGCCCCTGAATATAGTTATCCAAACTTCATAATTGTTACATCAAGCCTCCTATCCTAATGAACTCGTTTATGTTTCACCCAGAATCTCTGCAGAAGCACACTGACAGGGCAGTGTCACCAGGTGAGGGTGGAGATGCAGATCCCACTCCTATTTCAGAGCCAGCTTCAATATTGAGACGAAGGAAATTCACTACTGGTACGTTTTTACAATTGTTTTTACCACTTCACCAATATTTTCTTACATTGACTTAATTTCTTTACAATCTGGTGTTTTATAAACTGATTTGATAGATTTTATAAAAGTATATCACTGTCAAACAGTGTCTCTGTTCTTCTATTTTACAAGAGACAAAGATGCAAGGGTAAATATTTGGTATGAACAAAATAACAACTACTGTGTCTTAACAGATTCCGGTCTGGCAGAAAAACTCAAAAGAGAAGTTAGTTTTGAGGAAATGAGAAGAAGAGACAAGGAAGATGGTAATTTGATTATTTTATTTATTTAGTTAGTTATTAACTTTCCACAATTTTATGCATTTACATTTACTCTTTGATATATACAAAATTAAGATGATTAAACTCAAGATTAATTGATTGTTGCTAGAATTGCCCCATGGTACCAGTTGCCCCAGAATTGTCCCAGAATTTATCCATGCAAAAATATTGACAACTGTAATTGTCAGTTTTACTTTCTGTTTCAGAGGAGTGGATCTCTATGACTCTGTTATGGATATTCTTAGGAGTATTAAGTATTATGCTTGTGGTACTTCTCACCACACTTTACTGCAGTCTCACAGAGAGATCTTCCACATGTTCGGCTATCAAAGGCAATATTTACTATGCCTACATGAAGATAAAATACACATATCATTACTATACAAGCACTAAGGATTTCCACATGGAGCCACCAGACAGATATCAAAGCTGACAGAAATGTTTTGAGTCTCATAGCTATGATTACGAAAAAAACTAAAATCTAGAATTCAGAATTCAGCAGATCTGGCCTTCTGACTATTGTCAACAAAATGGAGTTATTTGAATTTTCTGCCTACAGAAATGGGGAAAAACGAACTAGAATTACACCAGTGTCTAATTTTGCTGTTGAAACCTATAATCAGTAGCAGAATACAATTTGGAAGTCATTTTTTTTTCTTAAAAACTTGATTTGATCATATTTCTTTATGCTGTATCCTCTTGCCTTGCCCTTGGTTATTATTTCTCTTCAAATGATCTCATTCACTGATGATTTACATTGCACTAAATGAAACAAAATTACTCTTTCAATTATATTTCCTTGCTTTGAACAATCTTAATTTGATTTCTTTAGAATTATTCCTTTTAGACTCATTATTGTGACAACTAAAGATGACTGAATACATTCCATTTATTTTTAATATGGATAAGGGTTAATTAGGGGGACCTGGTTATTGTTGCAGATAATGTAGAACTGAAATTGCACATTGTATCATGACTTTAAATGAAAGGGGTTTACCCAGCATGTTTTTCATTTACATTTATCACCTAGCTGTTATTCAAAACTGTAGAGTTATGACTTGCAGCATTTTAACTGTTATTTTTGTATGTTGAATATGTAACTTCAAAGGTTGTAGAGAAAAGGTTGAATCATGAAGGCTATAGCAGGTGTAAGCATACTTCATGACATTTGCAATGAATATTTGAAGAAGAGAACTGAAATAGCTTATCTGGGCAGGACTGATGGATATCACCCTCTTAACAGTTCAATATAGATATGACATTGCAGGCCAAGCCAACTCGGGTCAATTGGTAGATTAGGGAAAAGGGGAATGAAATAGATAAAAGGTTTGGTATGAAACTTGTTAATTTAATTGCTCTCAAAATGTCAAAATATGACACCAAAGTGGTATTCTCCAGAGTACATTTACATGTAGTGGGTTTCCCTATTAATGCATTAATCAAATTCTGTCTCTCCTGTCAGTGTAATGGTTATACCAAAGATTAATAGAGGTAGTATTCTTTGGAGGATGTTGACCAAAGCATTATTACAGCTGTGGCTCTGGTGGAATAGTCTGTGTGAAAACTCTGAAGTGCCTCCATGGTGGTAGTCGATGTGAATGTATTTACTGAAAGAATAATCACTTTGAATTTTGTGAAAAAAAAAAACATTGTTTCTAACCTTTCATTTTAATTTCAATACTGTTGTACACTAGTAGATTTCATAGTGCTGGGATCTGTACTTAATATTTTACATTTCCTTTATTCAAAGGTCATTCTTTTAAGAATATTTTAAAGGTTTTACTTTGGTACTGTTCAGTTATAAGGTTTTCCATTTTGGAATCTGTTTTGAAATTTAACACTTGCACAGATATATTTACTTTTTGTAAGCTTTAACTAAAACTTCACTTCAGTACTTTTCCCTCATATATTTTGTAATTTATATATACAGAAGTTGTTTAGGTTTACTAGTAATTTTATACAAATGAATTGCTTTTTGTTTTATTTTGAAGATTACTTACCACTGATAACATTCCTGATGGAATACAATTTACATTTGTATGATTATGTCATATCTTATCAGTATTTAGGCATTACTTTTTCTTCATTTATTTATTAAAATTTTATTATCATAGATTGCCTCTGTCCTGTTTTAGTCTGCAATAGAAATGTATCCAAATACAGTGGTTCATTACATTTATATCACCCTAATTCAACAATGACATTGTATTGAAACATTTCACCCTGAACCATGCAGGCTGACTGTAAAAATTGATGCTTACAATCTCAGTGTTACTTCACAATGATTTCATTATTATTTTTATTATTGTAAGTAAACACCATCATTATGGCTAAACTAACCTGTTACTAAAGCAGTTTGATATGATGAAAATACCATGTTCACCTTACAAACAGCTTTCAATATATACATGCTCTTATAAATTCCACTTAATGTTACTTTCGGTGTTAACTGAGTGGGATTTGAATGGGGAACAATATGTTATCACTTGAAAGTCCTCAAGTGTAAGTATAAAAATGTCAACATTAGCCATGTGTCATACAGTCCTCCTATCTTAATCTGCAACTCTATCACGCACGAAAAAAAAGGGTATATTTTATTTAGGGCAACTGCTCTACTTCCAAACCTTCTACCTTCATAAAATCAGAATTTTATTGGATAGTTCTTTTTTTTCTGTGAAATATTTAATTAGATTAAGCCAGATTTTTTTAATCTTACGTAAGTCTGCACAATGTGGAGCCATAGTCAATCAACTCGGGAGACCCACTCACAGACACGTTTTTCAACTGTAAGACGTCATTAAAGACATTTTAGATAAAACAAGAAGCAATTGGGTTCTGGACCTGAATATAAATAGAAGACCAACAAATAACTTACCTCATCCTGTGGATGTGTAATCCTGATATCAAGATTAAGAGTGACATTATTTTGATTTATAATAATGTTCTTTTAAATGGCATTTCACGTTTCATCACATTTTATGTTGAACCCAGCTTTGGAAATAGGTAGAAATGAGGCAAAAACAGGAAATGAGGGGCAGATAGATATATAGAAAGATGGATACATATATGAATAAACACAAACACAAGTTTTTAAACTACCACAGAACTGCCTCTTTATTTATTGTATAATTTCAGAGAGCAACTATTACAGCAACCACTGAGCACCTAAACAGTGCAGTGGCATAACAAGCAAATGTGCAATAGTCACAAATAGTACAACCGTTTGTATAGTCTTTTGTCTATAAAAATAACATCACTGCAATAGTACCACCCACCAATATCGCTATAATTCCATCCATTGTCTACAATTTTAATAGTCCAGTATGCACATGATGGTGCACTTACTGTACAGATAACATGCAATGTGATGAGAAAGACTGCAAGAATTGAGGTTTATGATGATTGCGCTGAAAAATGATCAAATTTAAAAGTGCAACATTATACCAATCCTGCTGCCAGTCAAACTGAGCAGAAAATTCAAAAATTGCATCTCATTAATAAATGTTTTGACATTTTTAGTATCCATGTGGGATATATGATAAGGTAATGGGATAAGCCCTCAGCTGACAGTGTATATCGCTGGGATGGGGACTCCCTAGTTATGGCAGTGAAAACATAAAGCATTACATGCAAATATAAAATTAAGTTACACACTGCCACTTCAAATGGATTAACTGGGCATAATACATTAAAATGCAGTTATATACAATCACAAGTACTCAAAATCAATCGTGCTACATACTACACACTAAATGCTTGTTCCAAGCCTAAAATTGAGGTAAAGCAACACTTCATCATCTGTAAATTACAAATCTTTTTTTGTGTTTTTGTAAAAGGTACTGTTCATTGACACATTATAATAGCAAGTTTACAATAAAACAATGTAAGAGAAGTCCAACTATAAAAAAGCTGCTGTTCTATAAATATAACAATAACAAACAACATAACAAGAAGTATGATAAACATGGCTTTCAGTACAGACAACAAACACTATGCAATGGCCTGCTGCATCTGCACAAGACCAACACCTTTAGTCACTTTAACAATTGCACGATTTTTCTCTTATGCCCTTCTTCTTTACAACAAAACTCCCAACAATCCATAAGTATCACTTAGTTCATCTCATTATATATCACTTAGTTCACCTATCATGATTAAATCCACTAAAGACCAGCTTCTTAGATGAAAGGCCTTTGGCAGGGCAGAAATGAAATCAGTGCTAAAACGACTATCATTGTAACTATAATGATATATGCAATAATGAGGTATCATGCTTTGAGTACAGTTAAGCAAGCCACTAACAGATGGGGAAGACAGGCTGTGGTACACAGACCTTGTCAACACTGGCAGTACTTTACAAAAACACAGGTATGTTGTACAACACACAACTAATATCATTTTCAGTATATGGGGGAGGTATAATTTTGAAATTTGTTGGAAAGAAATTGTACACATTACATAAGATACATAAAATGAATGGCAAAATAATTCAAAAGGTAATTACTTATGTACTGAAAAAAGGTTTCAATGACTCAATGTGCCCTTTGATTGCTACCAGTATCATTCATTTTACAGGTCAGTACATAGCCAGAGCATGTATGCCTCCTTTCATTTCTAAATGAGCATGTGTTCTAATATATCCGAGAAAAATTGCAGCAAATTATTTCAAGAGAAACTGAAACTCATGATTATTTGAAGCTGACTCCTGTGATTTTTCTATTTACAAGCTCTTTCATTGTCACATCTTTTTAAATCCCCTCCCCCCTTTATAAAATGGTGTCCTGTTTTGAGTCCTACTTCCCTGAATAAGAAATATCAGTTGTATTTAACAATTTTACTTCTTGTCCATGGGGCTTCATAACGGGCAGTCAGAGCAGTTCTGAATGATTGTCTTAGTACTTAGCAAATAAGAATCAAAGCAACCAGCAGAGGTGGCTCCTACCATGATTGTTAACTTCCATCATGTCATTATCTCACAGGTACATGTGTTTCCTTTTTACTGGTGCCCTTGCCCTTGGCCAATTCAGGCTTAAAGTAATTTAAGAATTGTTTTGGAGATACATTTATGTTTACAAATACTGGGGTAATAACAAATAAAAAATCGTATAACAAGTAATGCTTAACAACTTCCTAATTACAAGCAAATATTATTAAAATCCATCTGATGTCAGTCCCACAAGCACGCACGCCTGTCAGCTTTTATGAAAATGGCAATATAATTGCACCATTACCAAGGCCAAAGTGGCACAGATAATTCTTTGATGTTTGGCCATAATAAAAGATAATAATATAATATCAGATAGAACTGTGGCTAAGTTTCTGTGAGATGACATTCAAAGAAAACTGTGATTGTTCTTTTACAGGTAATTTTCATTTTTGTTTCAAACAATTTAGTTGATTTGTAGAAAATCTTTCTTTTCTATGATTAACAGGTTCCTAAAGTTCAGTCCAAGACTTTCAAAACAGAACTGCATACAATGACTAAAGATTTTCAATATATCATAAACTTGACATATATTTTCAAGGGTCCTTGCTTCAGTAGTTTTGTCCACTACACTTCACTGAGATTTCCTCAAGTGAAAACAAAGAGTTCAGTGGAAAATTCTTGTTTTTAATTAATAGCCACCTTCCACTTGATTAGTTTCCAAACTGAGAAAATATCATGGGACAGGACTGACCAAAAGTGTTTGATTAGGGATAATAATCTTGATTTTTTTTCAGCAATGGCAGTTAAGCTGACGTGTATATTTCCAACCCAATTAAGGAACAGATAATATCACCAAAATAACATAGTTGTTTCTTTTCTCAGTTACCCAATTAATATGAATATGTCACATGGGTGAGAGGTTTCTTTTAAGTGTCACTGATTAGACTGGAATGTCATGTTAATGTGATCCTCCTACTCTAACAAGACTTGGCAATCCATAACTGTATTTCAAACACAACCTTCAAAACATCTACAAGGAAAATTAAGGCTAATACAGTGCTCACTGATGATAATGCTGAAATTCTAAAATACTGCGGCTTATAAAAAAGTATAAACAAAACCACTTTACATGAAAATTAGCATCTAAAGAGCATGCTGCGTGTACAAGCAATGGAAAATTACTTTAGATAAAAACACTATAAAACAAGAACTATTTTGTACAACAAACAGAAATACCTCCAATTATAAATGATGCCATTGTGAACAAATTTACAAGAACTCAAAAATAATAAAAATCAAAAACCAGCAAGTTGGTAATATAATTATAACAGAGTAATTAAATGTTTTCTTCCTGTTTGGACTGAACTACACCTTAGCTGTTCCTAGTGTTACCAAACTGGACTTAAGATGCTTTGTCACTTTACTTAAATATTTACATAGAAACATGAGGTTACTTGCTCAGAAACAGACTGGAAAGGAATGTTAAATACAAAGTATCTCTCCCAATCCATTCATGAAATCATAGGAAATCTCATTGAAATCTATTAAACTTTGTTGGTGCCGAGTATCATAACAGAGAAAATAATAGAGAAATGTTTTCTGTGCTCTGGCAGTACTCGGTGTCGTCCTGGCTCAACCATAACCTAATGGACATAACTGTTTGTGCTTTCCCACCAAAACATCAGACCATGACCCATGGGTCTATGATACCATAAAATTAACATATTTATTTAACCTGTGCTGCCATAGTACCACTGTATGATGTGCCACCATTTCTACCAAATCCACATACACTTAAAAGTAATACAAATATGGTGCTCAAAGTAAATATGACAAAAAGCACAGGTAAAGTATCCCAATCTCTAACACAAGCTCATGTGTACGTATAGCCCTCTAAAATACCAAGATGGCAGGTATAATCCACATATACCATAACACATATGTACCATGGTGCCAAGCTGAGGTACCATCTGCACAGATGGAACCAAACTGGTGCAGTATATGTTACCATGGTAGCGTGGGCTCATAGAAGAGCATCATATTACCACAGTACTACCAAGTACCACAACTATTAATACCACAACATCAACACGGGCTATGTGCATGATCAAGAATCCATTTCAAGAGGTGATAGATTCCTGATGTTATGTAAACATCTGATACATCAAAAAATATACTGTAGAATCATCTATCAGTGCCAGAAAATATTCATCAGTTCTTTGAAATATTTGACATAAACATCAAAGTGTCCTGGTGACACGATGTAATGTTTACCTAATGGTATCATGATAAATCCCCCCTGCATGTTGCCACGATAAAGTGAAAAGTGTAAAACCATATCTCACTGCTAACATGTAGACTTCTATAACATCATTAATGTAATGTACTATGATGTATGTTATTCATTTTGTTTATCTGCACAGTCCTGCTAATACATCAAGCTGATTGCAATATGTTTTTACGTAAATTGCACCCAACAAAAAGACATCATTCAAGCCAAAGTCTACAATTAGTCTGTCCAAATCCAGTTTGGAAACATTCAAGGCAGCATCCTCCATACCAGCATACAGTTTCACTAAAGAATGTTTATATGATGCTATATATACGTGATATTACTAAACATACTTGAAATATAAGACTAATGACACTGACAGGGTTTACTATGGTTGTGGATGTAATACAGTTATAGCAGCACATGAAAATGTACTATGACTACTTTTAACAAAATGAAAGACCTATCAAAACTTACTAGGTGCATGGACAATCTTTTTTATAGTTACATTAGGTCCTCACATTCTCTAAACACAGATACAGTTTTTCTTTAAATTTGTAAGTGTAAAATACATTTGCTGCCTAGTTAGATTTATCTTTTTTTATGGCACCAGTTGTTGTATCTTCCACTGAGAGACACATATCGCTCTATTCTTAAAGAGCTACTAGTACCACAGACATCATTGCCACACATACACACAGAGATTATATATTATATATAACATGCTAATAAAACATGATAGCTATAATGAATCATCTCTATAAAAAGTTTTTCTTCTGCTCTTCACACTTTTAGCGCCATATGAAATGTATAAATCCCACACAGCACCATAGATGTCTCCACTGTAGTTTTCTGTAGTCCAGTCTCCATGGTCCTATTCCTGGCAAAACAATATAACCTGGACTGTTGCTTCCAAAGTTTTCTGTTAAGTACATATCTATTACCATTTATATCGATATATCTGTTTTAATACAATCCCAAAGCACTGCATTGCAACCATGCATTCCCATATATATATATATATATACTAATCTGCCTATGTATTCAATGAAAATGAAGAAAAATTTAATCACAATAATTGTAACAGTTATAACAACAGCAGTGAAGGTTACCCTGGTAACCACGCATCTACTCAGCATCCAGCATTTCTAGAAAGAGTTTGTGAAGAGGAACTCTGCCATCTTTTTTAACACTCCACCAGTACTGCTTGCCGTAGTACTTTATCTGGCTGAGGAGTGGCAAACATAGGAGGAGGTTCCCAACTCTCCTTGGATCCCCAGGGTGGTAAGTCTTACTGTACTGAAGCAGAGCATCATGGTACTTGTTCCGCCATTCTTCTACTGAACTTACATCTTCAATATTTGCATCTGGAAATATTGTTTTGAATGGTTAAAGAGTAAAGTAAAATATAAATGGTTTTATATGTCAATTGATATTTTTATTTATTTCACACACACAAAAAAAGCCTCGTTACACTGTTTTTTTTTTTTTGGTAGAAATGTATTGGTGAGATATAATGCCAGATGTGAAAAGGATCCTGGTAGATACAGCACTTATCCAATAGTGCCTTGTTTATGGGAATGCAATTTTTCATAGTGCACCTTTCTCCTTATCAGTGAAAAAACACTGTAATGTAAAGCAACACATTGAGTTGGGGTAAGTTATGTTACTTTAATTACATTAAATTATATGACATGATATAATGATCCGATGATTTATATCTAAACACAAGAACATAAAGATATAACACTGAGAAGAAGCCTGGTATCTTCTAGTACTTCTTAAAATGACAACAAGATACCACAAAACAATGCAATTATGCTGCCTAATGAAGCACCACTAATTCCGTCATTTTTTAGTCAAACATAATCCCTTTTTTCATGAAAGCACAAACTTAATTTGAAACTTGTAACCTGAATATCTGTATGTGGTTTGACGTGTGAATCATGGACAAATGACTGTGGATAACCACACATAGGTTGGTCTTTGTCCATGACAGTAAGCTCTAGGGGAACTTTCAAAAAAGCTGACATCTGAGTCAGACCCCAGACTTTTATCTTTGTTCTGTCTACTTGGCTAATCCACTTATTGGCATTCCCTCCGACCTCTCTCTTTCTTTTCTCCCTATCCAGTTTCCAGTTCACTATCTGCATTTTTGGTGTACATGCTTTGGAAACATTTTTTAATTGATCTAAGATGCATCTGACCTATCACTGATCATTCCTTATAACATTCAAAAATAATATGACCAACAGCTTCCAGTTGATATAAAGAGCATATAAATACTTTCAAAATTGAATGTAGTTTTCATGCTATCAAAGTAATTCATGTTTGACTTTAAGGAGGAGACTTTTTTCTTTAAATGGAATAATTGCTTACTGAAGTACCATAAGTGAGAAATTATTACACAATCAACATAAACAACCTTATGATGATCAAAATACAGAAACTTTTTGTGAAAAGGGGGCAAGCATTTTTTCTTTTGCATCCATTTCTATAAATGTGACACTCCATAAAAAAAAATCACTAACAAAATGCTGTACACTAGCTTAGACTCTTGGTATTACATTAATGAGCTATTAAATACTCGACTCAAACAAGACCATATCAAAGTACCGGTACTGAATATTCATGATTTCACAGAAAGGTCATGCCAAGTCTTCCCAGGCACTGTGCTATGTGAAAATATCCAGTAACCAAATATCAGGACAACCTGCACTTTTTGTACCATTTAACTGTAAAGGAGAACTAAACTGCATGAGAAAAAATTCAACATGCTTTAAGCTCTAATATGATTCAAGACTAGAAACATGCATAGAAATGTACAATTTCAAATAAATATAATTATATCTATAATAATTTTGATTTCAGACCAAACGTGCAAAAAACGTAACACATCTATGTAAATAGGTGGTTTTGCAGTTTTGCAGAGCATCGAGACATCTTATCTGTGATGTGGTGGTGGTCCGTGCCTGCCTACACACACATGGTAAACCAACCCCTAGCATACGTGTACGTGTTTGACCTGAGCTCTCTCTCCGTGTGCTGGTCAAACAGAGGTCAAGAGTTCATTTAAGTTCAAACGTGGTCAAAATATCTGAGAAAATATACTAACATTTGGGTCTTTTGCAACCTCACAAAAATTCCTTTTTGCAGAACTAATTGCAGTAATATTTTGGTCACGCCATAGTTTAGTCCCTTTATTAATAATTTCTGATTACCATTTGATTATATGGTCAATTAGTTGAAGTAAAATAAAAAAATGGGTTTCCATCATAAATAGCTGCCTTTACTAATCAAATATCAATCAACCTGTATATTGCATTTGTAATTTGACCTTGTTAATGGGCCTCTTACTACTCATGATGGAAGAGATATGGCAAGTATGATTTATTCAGACAAAAATTCTATAGTGAAAAAATAGCAAGCAAATTTACTAGTATTTAGATGCAGTTTTTATATTTAGGATATATAGAGCAATGTCAGCTCAAAAATAAATTTATTTACCAACACTCTTTAGTTTTAAGCTTAGCATAACACTTCCTGTGTCCTACATATATAATTTCTTTAATTTTTCAGCTTATCTTTTTAAATATGTCATGCCCCTTTGTACCTTCCTTTTACTTAATTGTCCAACCATGGTGGCAGTAAATTTCATTGCAAAAACTGTTTTCTGTTTTACACTTATTCAATTACTCTCATATATGTAGAGGTTTCTTTCAGCATCAAATCACCATAGTTTATTACACTGCGACTGACTTTCAACTGCTTCCTTTTTTATCATGTGCAGCTTCGGTTAAGTTGATCAAAAACACTTTTTCACAATAAATTCATTAACCATGCAAGAAGCCATTAGTAAGGTAATGCTGCCCAAACATTTCATTGTCAGTTTAAGTTAAATTGAAACACTGGATCCATAGTCTGTTCTAAGAAAATGAATTGCAATTCAATTTACTTGAATGTAGCAAGTGATTCAACAAGTAGTCATAGAGGTGATCTGTCTAATACAACAGTCAGATATAGACTCTGCTGGTATTTGCAAGTTTCTAAAGATGGTGACATGGTACAACACTGTGTTCTGTGCACAATGTCCTGCAATACACCTTTGGTACAAATTACAAAAGTAATATACTGGCTATATCTCATTATTTATGCATAAAGGAAGCATGCAAAAAAAGCTGCGCTTTCTAAATCATTACAGTTTTGATTGTCAGACATCTATCAACCTTTACTACAGGTAACTTCAAAGAGAATAATATTAATGACTCCTGTAATGGCAACTTATTCTGGGTAATTATTTCAAATACATTATGTATGTTGGAACTTCTGTCATAAAATGTATAAATGATGGACGATAGCCCAAGTTATTTGAACACCTGCCCTGAACTGCAGCTCATAGCAGTAACCACATTTCATAAATGGAAACCAGTATAAAGTACTCTCTGGCAAGTGACTTTAAATTAAATCACTGAACTACAGTACAGAAATGGACTGTAACCATTTCCAAGTCCAGTATCTCTTACTCAAAACTTTCCAGAGAGCCAGTCATGGATTACTTGTAAATGTATGTAGCATAAGTCAAAGTACAATTATTCTTTTGAAAATACCATAATATATCATGGATTAATACTGGTGCAGCCCATATTTTGATTTGTGACTGATAAGACTTATAAGCATGTATGCACTTATTTGAACTGCATTTCTCATACTATCTTCAAGAAAATATATCAATGAAATCATGACTGCACTTGTTATTCAAACCCTTAATTGCCATGACATCAAACTGGTTTGTTTATTGGGCACTAGTCTCCATAGTTTTATGTTTCTAGGAAAACAACCTGAAAACATAATACCACACATTGTTTGTGTCCTGTACAGTACAACTGGTATTCTATACCAGACAGTGCAACTGTAACTGAACACTGCTTTCAACAGCTTTTCTCCACTGCTTGTAACCAGCATGAGATGGGATGTCATAAAAATTAAAAGACAATGGCTACAATGCCATATTTTGGTACATTATCTTTAAAAAGGTATACAAAAAGCAGAGCAGATATTTATTAAGTTCCTATTGGTAAAAGATACAACTGGCATTACCTATACCTTAATTACTGGTACATTCTGGTCAGGAAACAAAACCATACTGATGAGTCTCATTTTTTATAGCTATTCTTTAAACATGCAATCATGCATTCCACAGTATTGTAACTGTTGTGACAGTGTAATTAGAAATTACCTGGGCCAGCCATTTGAAATCTATATGATTGAGACAACCTTGTTTAACTTGATGGATAGTCTCACACAAGAGAGAGAATCAAATGAATGTTTGGTAATTATAAGACAGCAATTAGACAACAATAACTTTTTTTCAGGTAAGACAAGCAGAATAACTAGCATTGTTGAGTAAATGATATTATCCTTGGAATATTACAATGTCACAGATTGTCAGCCCCCCTCCCCCCACATGTCCCCTTATAGTTGATATTCAACCCACTGCATGGGTAAATCACAGTCATGGCTGGATACTCACATACAATGTATCTTCATACAATGATAGTTATTTAGGCACTCAAGGCAGCAATTGCTATTCATGTTGCCATATTCACCATAAAAATTCTTTCAATCTGAAGGTAGAAAAGGCCATCATCTTTATCACATGGCTTACAAGAGAGGATAGCAAGCTGCTCACCTCCAGTTGCTAATGAGTCTGTAACTGGCATCATTCTGAACTCTACAGGATGTTAAAGATGCTCACCTATCATTTTTGTCGTCTTATTTATACCTTACTCAGTTAAGATGGTAGGGGGAAGGAATGGGAGAGAAATATCATGATCAGGTCTTTACAAAAAAAAAAAAAATGGTGTCTAAGATTTCAAAAAATATTTTTTGTTGACAGACTTTCAATGTACTTCTATTCACTGATGAGTTCACAAGCTAAACCTAACACTGTAGAGCTCATACATCACTTAGGTGAGCTGATAACAGAATGGTTTTAACCTGGAGATGATGTATAAGTTGGTATACATATTTGAACTTTTCCCTTCAAATAACCACTGTCTTTTCAGGTGAGCACTTCTGACTGATATCTGTCAACCCAAGCTACCAAATAAGCCTCATTATATCCAGCCACAAATGTTTCATAAGCTCATAAGAATACCTTTGATATGGCGTCTTTGGAGCAAACTGGTAACAGTGTCACAGTAAACCTAACGTATCAAACTATGCACCCTTAGCTTTGGTGGTGCCATACAGAATCAGTCAAAAAAGATGTTTTCTGTAGTTACTACAACTCAACCTCAATAAAGAAAGAAAAAGAAAGAAAAAAGAAAAAAAAGAGGAATCACAGTACAAAATGAAGAAAATCTCTGCATGATATACAAAATATCAAGATCTGCAAAATGGTAATATAAATCCAACATCCAACTGGTTACTTGTTATATTGCTAAAGATATAGGCAATATCATTTATTGCAGTTGTTAAAAGGGTCTGTCACATACATCAAGGTGGCAATATATTTCTTGGGAAAAATCAGATACATAAAGGGAACCACTAGAGAGCCAGGCACACAGGCAATTGCATAAAAACTCAATTACTTTAAAACACTGTTATGCATAATCTATAATTTCTTAGTGTTATAAATCAAAATCTTAATTGATAGAATCCTTAATATATCAAACTGATTGGATACCATATAGTGGAAAGTGTCTTTATTTCCCATGAGAGATGGAGGCCTGAATGTAGATGCCAATAATGGGTTAAATGCATTAGGTTGCCAGATTATCTCACCTCGCAAGGTAGTCCAACCATCTAAAACGCAAACCCTTGAAACAGATAGCACATTTTTCTCCATAATGATGAGCAACATGGTCACAATTTAAGGTTTTTAATTCATCGTCTCTTCTTATGATTGAAATGGACTACAACACAAGTGCAAGAATGATACATGTGGGCAATTAGCACCTAATTAATATAGCAGTGGCTATCTTTAGTTTTGCTTTTTTGAATTATGTGAACAGCCTTGAAAAGGAGACTTTGACATATAGCAGAAGGTCATACAAACCACACTTGACTAAAAATGTTCCTTGCTCTCCAAAACATGTAAGTCTAATCAATCAAACCTATATCAGAACAACAGACACCTGGAAGTAGATAACCTCCATACAAAAATGTGCTCAAAGACCTTTACTGAAAACACCATTTTTTCTCGAATTATAATTTCTGAAGACACGCATGTATTTCCCTTGATGAAATGTAAAGGGCACATTCAAAGAAAAATGCACAATTTTCACTTATCTAATAAAAATGCTTTTTTTTTTTTTTTGCATATATTGTTTAATGTTATGAATTAGGGGATTCTAAATCAAACCTCAAACATTCACATAAAACTGAACAGAACATTTGTACAACACAACATATAATGTCAGCCATTCCTGTGAAATCACTATAAAAGGGTAGATCACATCAGAGAATCAAGCATCAAATGCTGCACCTTATTTATATTTAACATCTCTCATTACACACATTTTCCTAACAACTTGTTGGCATTTTTTAGTACATCCAGGCCACAAGCAATAACGGTCAATATCCTATGTCTGAAGTTTCACCTGGATTCCCTTTAAAGTTAATGGTCAGTGTTTGAACAGATAAATCTCCCAGTGCACAGTGCCAGTTAATGTGGTCAACTGTAACCTTTAACGGCCTTCATCACCTTTTAGTGAACTTTAAAACCAATCGGTCAATTGAGGTAACTACTCCCTTGTGTTATCTCAAGTCATTTTTAATCAAAAAGAACAAGATGACAGGATACATTTCGCACACAAAAAAGTATCTCATCCATGCAAACAACAAATAAAGAGTCAGCAGAGCTCAAGTCATAGATAAATGTGTATCATAGGCAAAGACAGAAGTAAACAAAGACAAGGGTATCTTTACGTTGCACATACAGCATTTAAAATTCTACTTAATTCCACTTTTTAAATATGTTTATCCTTCATCAGCTTGGTATTTGAATATAATATAAATTGGCCTCCGATCAAGTTGGAAGCAAACTAAAAATAGGAAAAATTTTCCAGCTTGAGTTAAATAATTATGATATATATTTTACGGATATCACTGCTTTGGGCATGAATACAAAGTCAGTCCTGCCATGATTCCTGTAATCTTCAAAACATATAGTTTTAGATATATAGCCTTTTAAGAGATGTTTTCCAACATAATTTCCATTTATAAGATATCTGTGGATGTTGCCTTTATGTGTAAGTGCAAAATACATGATAAATCTTGTTCTCTATATACACAGTAACAGAAGACAATTGAAATATGAAAAATTCCACTTTTAGCTGCCCAGTGTTTCATCACAAAAAATACAAGCCTTCTCTTTGTGTTACATTAAAGGTGAAACAGTAAGTTTTTTTCAACTATTTTCATTAAAGTTATGCAAAATAGGGAACCGAATTTAGTTGTCCAAATCCTATATCAGCGTCATCTCTTTGAGCAAAAAAAGAAAACTAAAAATCCTTTCTGCCTATAGCACGACCTTGGGTTACTCTTAAGAATGGATCTATAGAAATCTCATCTGCAAGTCTATTCATCTTTCATGCGGCCGTGACAAGATAATCATTATGAATTTCAGCTTATTTCATGAATGGCCTTTTTGAATAACATTCACTTATAAAGGAAAAATGTGACACTGCTTTGGTGTTTCAGCAGTTGTATGACACCTTGTACACTCAAAATGATGCAATGCACAATTTAAATTAAGTGCCACTCAAAATGACATACGTATACTTGGGAACCAGAAATCTCTTCAGCATGTGAACAATCACAGCTATTTTCACGTAGTGAGACCATAAGTGAAGCCATCATATATGCATGCATCCCACATTGGGCCAATTATAAATTGAATAAAAATAAACTGAATTATAATGGATCAAAGATCCCACCATGCTTAAGAATGTGTAATTGCTGTGCACTTTTTAAGATAATCTTATAAATTTCCAAGCCAGTGAACTAATACAACTGCTTTTAGTCTATTACCTTTCCTTCATTATACTAAACACCAACGAAGGATTCAAAGATCATCCTTATCTCTGCTATAAAGAGGAAATGATTGACCACTCAAGTATCCTTTTAATTCTGGAGAACATGTGCACTTAAAGTCTCAGTATAACACAGATAGACCACTTAACGAGGGTTAGTGACATTTGCATTAACAATGCAACTTACAGACAATTTAACATAGAATCATTAGCATACTATTAAGTTGTTGAAAACATCCAAGACAATGATAGCACAATCTTCCACTGTGAGACTAGCTGTGATTCTTTTTCAGAGTTATTTGCTATCACATTTTTTTTTTTGGTTTGGTTAACTTTTAACTTTTCATTTTTCTCACCTTTTTCTTTTTAAGATGTTGGTGGTGGCAGGGGCACATGCATAAACAAGCAAAAGAAGACCTTTTAATCGAAAATATGCATGTTCGATTGCCAAGGTAATACTAATAAAAAAGTCAATTACTGCTAGTTAGACCTGTATGTAAAAGTACTTCGACCTATGTACTGGCAGGGAATTTGCCAAGTCCCTTTCATTCTTGTTTGCCTTCTGAGCATAACATGTCTGGTATAGTAATCTTATCAATGAATTAACCCCATATGCCCTTCTTAAATCCTATATCCAATCTAAACCTGCTGCATAGAACCATGAAAAGTCTGTATCAATTATTAGCTCACTGCTCCTAAGATATTCTAATATTAACTTACTAAATATAGGTTATTATTATCATTTTTTATACTAAATATATGTGCAATATGACAGCATTTTAATTCTCATACTTCAAACAAATAATTAAGATATTGAATGTCTGGGATTGCGATCATTCATTATCATTGTTCTTGGAAAACTCAATACTAATTGTAATTAGGTTGCTAAAAGACATGTACCGTGACAACAACAATTGTAGCACTTAAAATAAACTTTTCTTAAAATAACCAAAAAGAAAAGATACTTACCAACATTAAATAACACTAGTGCCTTTAAAAGTACATATTCCTCCTTTGTGACTCTGAGATTTGTCAGTCTTTGAGCAAGTTTGCGACAGTATTTGTCTAAAGTCACTGGGCCATTACAGTTCACGACATCTTCCTCTGTGAGAGAGAAGTCCTCCGCAAACACAAAGCTATATGAATATGGACAAGAGCGAAAGCAAGAGCTAAGGTTGAGAATCTCAATCCAAGACCATTGTAGTAGATTCATTTGATCCGACAGTGATAGTGGTGNGAAAAAACCTGAAATAAAAAATGACTATAACTTAATCAAATCACAAATTGTGATAATGAAAAATTGCATAAGATCCAATGAATAGAGTAATTACCAATAGTAATAGTGTGTGTGTGTGTGTGTGTGTGTGTGTGTGTGTGTGTTTGTATGTGTGTGTGTGCGTGTATTTGCATGTTTAGACATAACGTGTGGGTGTATATGCAAGATAGGCTATGTGTCAGAACATATGGAAATAAGGGCACTGCACATACTTAAAGCCAAACTGATATACATGTACTTTAAACATGTTCCTGCAGATTTGTGCTCACACATTCATATAACCAGCAGAAACTAACAGAACTTTAAATTAAGTAGCAAGACATGGCAATTTAAAAAGCTTCTAATAGAGCCTAAAACAAATGTTGATATTTTTGAAATTGGATCATTTCTAATATTACAGCAAGTAAAGCTGCTTTGCCCTACATAGAGGAATAGTCCTTCATGACTAATAGTACAGAACTGCGGGATGCATTGTGATATACAGCAACATCAATCAAATGAGAAGTAGATGGCTTCCACATTACAGAAGCTCACAGGTAGATGAAGGGCCTTGAAATTGTATCCACAGAGACAAAACAAGGCACTTGTTAACATTTAAGCTGCAATTACTCCAATTTCGATATGCCTTTCTTGTCTAGAACAATATTAGCTGATAATTGTAAAATAATTAGGGGGACAGCACCAAGCTGAAATGATATGATATAATATAACCTAGTTGCAATAATAATACACTGGTTTATTATTATTATTATTTATTTCTACTTAGCTAAGATCAAAACACTCAAGTGGTTCACATTTATCTGACCAGAATGTGCAAATGTCCCTCTTGAGAAATGTTGAACACCTTTTAGCAATTTTTGATTTATATCCTCAAATGGCTAATGGAAGGTTGGAACACAGCAACAGTCATACTACAATGCTGGTATTTTCAAGGAGTGTCTCACGAAAAGATGTTTTTCTAATTAAACTATTGTTCATGACTTTACTTGTTCTTGTCTAAAACATATCAGGTGCCCAAAATTAAACAAAAACATTTGTTTCCAGTGTTCATTTTTCTTTTTACCTTTACTATGAAATATTATCCATTTTATTAAACATTAAATTAAATTTGGATCGGATAAAAAGGTAGCTTAAGAATTTCCTTTAACAGTCACACAGGCAAAATTATAGGTTTAAAACATAATCAAAGATATTCTTGCAACTGAAAGGAGTTGTATTCTGTTATAAAAGTCTAACAGAGAACTATCAAAGTTTAAACTATTATTAAAATGTAAGGAAAATAAAACATGAAAAGCAACTAAGCATTTTAATTTATTTTGATACATAAAGAAATTTAAAAAAACTAACATTCTAAATCTATCTACAAATAGTAAAACAATTTCAATTTTGGGGGACCTTTTCTTGTAAAAAAAAAAAAAAAAAAAAAGAACAATGTTTTTGGGTGTAAGTTTAGATTCTTGTACTTATAATGAAATTAGAATTTTTAAAAAAATATTTTTGTGTGTATGTTTAGATTCTTGTACTTATGATGAAATTAGAATTTTAAAAAATCAATTATTTCCAGTTCTATATAAGTTCTCAACTATATCTCTCTCTCAGTGTACCTGGAACCTGTTTAGCCCATCCAATTGTTGATACCAGTTCCCTGTCAGCAAGATCTGATAGCGTTGCCATCAGCTTGATTTCACTTATTGGCAAGTCAAGATCTGGTTGAGCTTGAAGTCTTTCTGGTTCTGCCTCCAGTAGGGATGTAACCAATTCATTCTCTGATATATATAGTCCTGAAATATACATATATATATATATACACACATAAATATATAACATATATACAATGCTATTCTAGGGTAAGTTGGTGCTACTGTAGACATATTATTGCATACAAAAAAGGCTTCTTAAAGTTATGGCCCTAAAATTTCTAAATGATGTTTGAACATTTTTGAAACAAACAAACCCCAAATAAAATGTTCATTTTCCATTGGCAAAGGAATAATTGTAGGCACAGAATATCCCATGTTCAATTTGTGCCAGAACATGTTTTCAACCTCTTGCAATTATAAGTCACAAGGCTTGGTTTTGTATTTAGACTTTTGTTTAAGTGTAAAATTCTAGCCTCAACCATGGAATATTTAAGTCATAAAATGGTTATAAATAACATAACTAGCCTTAGTTGAGCCCTATGCTTCTCATATTACCAAATGCTTGCCAACTTCAAAAATACTCATGCAAAAGCAAAAAAAGCATATCGTAGATGTATATCTTGTCATAAATTTATTAAGGAACTGAAGCCAGTCATCATGTGAAATAAACATCACACCAATCTGCATTATTTTTGACAAGTAAAGTGGTATTTTGAGACCCATTCATTACTATCTGTCAGAATGCAGAAGAATATCATATCTTCAATTATCACCAAGGATGTCACAAGCAGCATCTACTTTTACTAGAGGTAAGACATTACTTTCTTAGAAAAAGGCAATTAGAAAACTTGCTTTGTAGTTTGATAAATATCAGACTCATTTATAGTTTTTCTCATTATGAAAAACAGGAACTGGTGGATATAAGAAGGTAGGTGGAGCCACATCTGCCAAAGCCACACAACTAATGTTAGTAATTAACCCACACCTTCCTTTAAGTCAAGTTGTTGTAGTGAAAAATTTTGGTAAAAATCAAATCATTTAGTTATACTTGATGGTTACTTCTTTGCTCCATTTCCTTATCTCTCAAAAGTTCAAACCTCAGCAAAGCCTTTAAGAGCTTATTTTGATCGACTTTTTCAAACTTAAGTTAATGACCCTTGCAACTATCTTAACTCATCAATTTCAGGCACATTAGCCCTATACTTATTTACTATGGCTTGCTTCACATTCAACAGAGAGAATTTGGAAAATCAATCCTAATGAAACTTATTTAAGAAAAGCTTAACAGATGTCCAATTCCGAATACTTTATAGGGCAGTATTCATGGGCTTCCCTTTAGACTCTTTTTCTAGTTGGCTTTCTTTCATTTGTTGTATGTATGAGCAGACATGAGGCCAAACTAAACCACTGCCATGAGCTCTAGTTATGAATTAATGCATAATCTACATCATCTTCATCCACTAACTGTAAAAAAAATCAGTTAAAAAAAATTCAACCAAAATAACAAAGTTTTCATTAACCAAATTTACCAAAAACTGTCTCAAGATATTAGTCAAAAGAGAAAGTGGTTAATATTCAACTGTTTGTGTAATGTTGATAAGCAAGGTGGATCTTCAAGTTACTAATTCAGATATAAACCAATTTTGCTCTTCAAAAAATACTGTTTTTCAAAAGTTCCCTAAAGGATGTCTTAATCTGTTGCTGAGATACAACATAGGCTAGGGTAAAAACGGTTGATTTTATCCTATATGTGTAACCCGAAATACCTTTTCTCTTTAATCCCGATATTCAAGGAACAAGAGAGGAAAATTGATTAAATGCCAGTGGCTAACATATCAAGCCACAGTTCTGCATTAAAGATAGGATCAAGATTAACTTTTCTTAACATGCAAATAAGCCCAGGGATTTCCAATGCAGAAGCATGACCAAGTGTGATGTCGATTAATGCAACTCCATTAAAGTGAGGTACTGAAAGCAGGCTAAATGGTCCATAAGAAAAACTGATTTGCACATTAATGCACTTATTTTTGTTTGAGCTTTTTGTGATTTATGTATTTAAACAGTACTTTGGATTGCCCATTAATACATGAAACAACAGAAACCCCAGACATACTTAAGAAGAAAAAGATATTGTTATGGATATCAACCTTGTTTTTTTTTTTTTAAACCTGCCACTTGCATCTTAAGAACTTAACCTAGCTATTTCATTAGTAACAGATGAAAATGAGCGGGATAAGTTCTATTTCATTTCTCAAATCCGTTCAACTTAAGAGATAAAAAGCCTTCCCCCCCCCCCACCCTTTTTTTTAGCAACAGACCTGTATATTTTTCATAAAATTTTTGTTCTATTTAGAAAATTAAGGTGTAAAGCACTCAACACAAACATCTTATTCCACTAACAAAAGCTTTAGCCCAGGTCCCCAGCCTTGCTATATATGCGCCTTTGGACCTAAAACATCTATTATTTCCCCTGGTCTCATTCCAAACCAACCCTTGAACTACAGTGATTAGAGCTTCTCCACCAATTTTTTTCAAGGATAATAGCACTTACATAGCGTTACCAGTTTTTTAGGGAATCCAGGGACAAATGCATCAGATGACAATTTAATCTTTCAGAAATGAGAGCTCCAAATGTCAATTTTTCCCAGCCAATATTAATTTGGAAAATGCATACCACAACCAAGGCACTGGACAGCCATTATAGATAACAAAATTATGGATGTAAGCCAGGCAATGAACTGGGATATAACGGCATTATCAAAGGACACTAGTGATGTTTCAGCAGCTCTCTGCTAGAACGCCTGTAACATGGTTTATTTGCCACTGTTTTAATGCAAGAGGTGAATGTACTTTTAAGTCTGTGCACGGATTATTGTTACCTTTCTGCACTCAAATGTATATATTTAAATCGATTTAACAACTTACCATCTATACATGGATGTGACCTTTTGGCAATGACAACATGAGTATAAGTTGAGTCCGGAGGTCGTTTGTTCAGGTGGTATTTCTGTCGACCACCTCGCACCCTATCTAACCGCACACCTGAATAAAACAATAACACACAATTTTAATTTTCCAGTAGTAAATCAATAATTATTCAGAAGGTCTCATTTTTAGACCTTAACGCTTTTCTTTCACCTCATATTCTGTGCCAAATAATGCTGGAAAGAATCATGACACGCATATATGCACTGGAAAAAAAAACAAGTAACAATTTTAAAAAAATGCTTGTGATCTTTATGTATGGCAACATGAGAATCATATCAGGAGCATGTTTCATGAAAATAACTGTGATTTGTGTATTAAAAAGATGGAGAAGTGGAAATGTCAAAGGAGGGCAGTTTTAACTGGTTTAGATTCTTCCCAGGGCTAAGGTAGGAAATGGGAGGAGATTCTGAATGCACAAAGATATTAAGATAGAGATGATTGATACTGTTTCAGAACTCAAGGCACATTCTTAGTCCATCTGCAATGCAAAAACTTGGAACGTGCTAGGTCAGCAGAGGGAGCCACTATGTGTGCCACCATCACTGTACATACAGTTACAGTAAAGATCTGTGCCCTGAGCCTATATCGCTGTGAGGGTGGATAAAAATCAACTGTAAGGCACTCAGTTAATCTAGCCCAATTGGACTGGAAATCCACCTTTAGAAATGAGTACTGTCATCTATTTAATTTCCAACCTCAACCATTCCAAAAATGGGATAGAAGAGATACATAAAATGTGCTAAAGTCATTACATTAGGCTGTAAGTATGTGTTCTTTCTCTCATGTAACCTAGGACATCATGTTCTGTTATATCTCACATTGTTTTCTTTTTCTAATCTTTTTTTCATGCTAAAATTATGCCAAATTTGATTAAAACATGATCAATGAGTAACTGAGTATGCATGAAGAAAGTGAATGAACCTTTATTTCTGCTAATAATGCTGAACTTACTCCCTTGGTGTACGTAGTCAACACCTACACTTCAGACAGAAGAAGAGGTAACAGTTGTAATAGTGAAATGCCAGAATATGTAGAATAAAGTGAACTTCTGGTAACATGCCAGTCATAGAATTTAAAGCCTGTTGCCATGCAGTCAGTGATCTCAGTGTGCATGTAGGAGGGACCCCTGACTGCTGTGAGACATATCAATTGGGAAGGTATGAACACTTAACAACCTGCAACAGGAACACGCAACCATATACCTCACCATACTAGATATGTATTACAAAAATACAGGTATAAACTCTACTGTATGGAATGTTGCTACAATAATATAAAGCTAAAGAAATGCAGAGGCAAACAAGTCACATAATTGTGATCATATATAGCAAACCATGTTAGGTTTTCATTACAACTGTAACATATTTATTTATTTATTTATTTTTGTTTGCTAAATTTTGTTTGGCTAAAAGACAAAATACGAAACATCTCATTTTAATGATTTCATTTATTCATTTCATTATCAATTTGTTGGATATTTGTCATTGATTTGGATGAAATATATCTTGTCTGAGTGAGTGTTTGACATACTTTTATAACCACTGTTCATATATATAAAAATAAATAATTGATTGAAGACGTGTAGGCAAAAATTAGGACTGTTGTGCAAATCCAGCAAACTGAGATGACTTGAAAGGATTAATTATGTATGAAAGTTATAAATCAATCAACATTTAGTACTATTACCAGTGAACAGAACTGATAATATCAACCAACCATCAGAGACAACAGGAATTATTTAGGTGGATATATATCACGTTACCGGGTAGTATAGATACGTAATGAATAACAGAATTAATGAATCAAAATTAAGGAAGATAAAATTTATTGGACTTTTTGGATTCAATAATTAATCACACATGCAATCACTAAATAATCAGTAACAAGGGCAGATCCTGGGGAGAAAAAATGGACAGTAACCTAATAGCCTACCTGATGTACATGTTCACACATACTTACTAAATTATAATCAAATTAAAAGTTTGAATGTTTCAAAACATGCAAATGTACTTGGAATTACAGGTGCATGTAGGTGTACCATTTTTTATTTATTTTTTTCCACTGATTGTATTATGCCTGCACACATAGTCCACAGGCACCATTTGGGTAAGAGGCGCCTGAGTTCACTTTCACACCCGGAAGATTTCGCAATACCTGGTGCACACATACCCACATGCTAAATTCCGAAACAAACATCCTCTCTGTGACCCCAATAGTTCAGTAAGAATAACACATCAACATGACCTTGGGTCGGTTGCCTACAGATAATGCACTGTGAAAACAAAGGGTGAAGTGATGGTGTCTTCAAACATGCCTATGTTCTGACTGTTAACTAATGCCTTAAGCTCTGCATATTTGTCTCATTAAAAAAACTACAAACTCTTCCCAACAAAGTTGATCAGAAGATACTATAGGTGTGCATATGTGTGCATGTGTGTGTGTGTGTGTGG